GTTGACCAATAGGTAGGCTACCAATTTTCAACTGCTGGTGAGGTAAGCATGTGATCCCTCATAACCCATAAGCCCCACCCAGAACTCATACACGAATCGTGAGTGAGATGAGTGGTCACTGTTTACCCAGTCTGTAACAAACTAACAAAGGAAGTCAACATGAACTTGTGACAGAAGCGTCGCTCCTTCTCCGAGTGGTGGCGACCCATGTGTTTGTTTTAACATGGCACTCGGTCTTCCTCGTCTGATACATTTCGTTTTATTGTCACCCTTGCGCAAAATCAGCATCAAAATAAAAATTACAAACAAAATACAAACTAACAACAAAAACAACAACAATGTGGCTACTTTCGATAGGTACCTCAGATGGGAATGGTTCATTTTCTTCATCTTGATCAGTCCTGCCTAAGACGGCCACCTGTCTTATACGGCCACTTTTCTCCTTGACAATGGGTGGCCGTCTTACACAGGTTTGACTGTATATATATATATGTACGTATGTATCATCAGAAGATTTTGGGATCACAACTCATATGCTCCCAGGATATTCCGTTATCCACGTACCCCCAACAGGGGATAGGAAGGAGAAAGTTCAGAGGCCAAAAGATCCCAAAGACAGACTGTATGTTTTTCCACACACTTCCTCTGTACCTTTTGATCCCTTTCAGAAACTCATAGTTCGTCTGACCCCGAGAAATGAGGAACATCTGGAAGAGAAAGTAGAAGGAGCAGACCCCAAAGATGAAGAAACTCCAGAGGAAGAAGACGATGAGCCCGGCGAGCGAGGCGCTGAGAGAGCCGTAGAGCCAGGCGGCCAGGACAACGGGCAGGAAGTAGGCGAGGTATCCCCACGTGTGGAGGGCCGGGTAGTGCAGCTGGAGGTAGGAGGAGAGGACCACCAGGCTGTACAGAGCGCCCAGCGCACACTGCAGGCAGAAGATGGTGAAGTGACCTTGGTTGTGGAACCCGATACAGCAGCCGGCGAAGAAACAGTGGTGGTCTCTCTTCAGGACACAGGCTCGGCACAGCGGGCAGTGCTTGGCTCTCGGGGGCGCGGCCAGACGACAGTCGCGGCACGCCACCCAGCCAGCCATCAGAGGCGCTGGCGACACACTAGGGGACGTGACCAACCCAGTAGAATTGTAGCGGAAGTAAGAGCCGTCCAGCACCCCGTGAGCTGTTCTCTTGTTGAACCCACCATCGTAGTGTGAGGAACCGGCGTGCTGGCAATCCCCGTTATTCACCGACCCGACGTGTTTCTGTGAGCCATTGACCGATGGACGGTTGTTGTTGTCGTGACCTTGGCCATGTACTATGAGAGAGGAGGACAATACGTCCGCCGGGGGAGGGCTCAACAACAAGGATCTCCCGCTGTGTGCCGGACTGAGAAGATTTTCCGTGACGATGGAGAAGCGAGCCTTGTAGCCGATACAGACGTAGTTAGCCACCATGTTGAGGAGCAGATACCAGGCCAGCAGCTTGGCTTGGTACAGACAGTCGGTGTCGCGGCCGCAGTACTCCGGGAGGGTCAGCGAGAACCCCACCCAGAAGGTCAGGATGGTGAACACGACGAACACCGCACGACACACAACGTTGAGGAGCCAGTAGTTCTGTCGGTGGAAGAACGTCATGGCCACACCTTGACCCTTTGACCTTGGGACAGCCCACACCATGACCTTTTGACCTTGGGACAGCCCACACCTTGACCTTTTGACCTTGGGACAGCCCTCACCTTGGGAAAGAAACATATCAATAATATCATTACTGTACTCTTTCCATGTTCATTTTCAACAGAACGTTTGTTATTGTTTTAGTCCGGTTTTACGGCTCTCGCAACTGCATAAGGTCATATAAGCGCAAGGGGTGGATGTCAAAAGAGAAGTCCAAACGAGGAATCAAGCTTACTCTGCTCACCTCTCTAGCCTCAACCACACAAATTCTGCTTCCACTATCAAAGCACCCTGGAAATAGCAGGTCACAAGAGAGTGACAAACATACAAAAGAAGTAGAGGAAAATGACGATAGTAAGGATGAGGAAGAAAAAGCCGCACTTCCCCCTGTGTTGTTCCGGCACAGTATGAGCATGCCATTGATAAATCAGCCCATTTACAATTCTACTGTGCATAAAAACATGTTAATAATATTCCCCCTTTGCGAATGGCCTAAAGACACTTCAGTCAGTCGCATTGTCCTGGTGGGGGGAGGTGCAATACCCCCTTACCACTCACAATCTTACTGATGTAGCAACATAATGACTATCTTACTGATGTAGCAACATAATGACTATCTTACTGATGTAGCAACATAATGACTATCTTACTGATTTAACAACATAATGACTATCTTACAGATGTAACAACATAATGACTATCTTACTGATGTAGCATGATGTAGCAACATAATGACTATCTTACTGATGTAGCATGATGTAGCAACATAATGACTATCTTACCGATGTAGCAACATAATGACTATCTTACCGAAGTAGCAACCCCCCCAAATAGACCCACCTCTTCGTGGTTGGGGGGGGGGGGGGGGGGGGATTAGTACTCTTCGAATAGGAAAAGAAAAAGAGGAAGCCAATGGGTCAAGGGGTGACCCCGAAAAGAGACATATTACTTTACTATGTTTCTTAATCTTTCTATTTATTGTTTTTATTATTTTTCTTTATTACATTTATTAACTTTTCTTTTCTCCTCTCTCCATCGACAACCTTGCTTTGACCTGGAGTTGGGACAGGTACTGGTGAGGTGGAAAGTAGAGGTTCATTGTCAGCTCTGTACTGGATGTGACTTTACCTAGGGAATACCCAGCTACATACATGTAGTAAGCATGCACTTATCGGAGAGCCCTATGACTGCGGAGAAGGTGCAGAGACCATTTGCGTCTTGCTTGTTGACAACATTAACCCTCTGGGATCTGCCATGCCTTCCCCTGCCCCCATCTCTATGGATGAGAGGTCTTGGTTGCTCTGGGGGAGGGGGGGGGGGAATCTAGCTTCTAATTGGTATTATTACTACTATTAGTATTATTATGTTATATTATAATTCTTGTACTTCAGCAACACACAGCAACTATGCTCTTAATAGCGTCTTTCTCTTCTTTATCCCCTCAAACAACTTCTCAATATAATACAACAGAGACCAACATACCCATTCATTTTTCTTACAATCTCTCTGTGATGGAGTTGGGTTTTTGTTTGTGGCATTGCACCTACAGCCACTGCTTTATCTCCTACCCCGGGATGGAAGGAAAATCACAGAACCACCAGTTTTAGATGCTATTCACAAATGATAGAATCCCATACGAGCTGAGATGCCGCCTCGGTAATCAAGGTCTCCCCCAGGTCTTAGTGCGAACCAAGCTGGCCTGGTGGATGGTTATTGGAAGAAAAAGAAAACCAGAAAGCAGAGAAAATGGAAAAACAAGAAGAAAACACCCTCTACAACTGGTAACGGAAAAGGGAAGCTTATAGACTTCAATATTCTTCAGGCAAATGTCTGTGGCTTGGACAAGAAGAAAACACAATTGGGGAAAATTTTGTATGAAAGGAAAGTCCACATTGTTCTATTACAGGAAACTCTCCATTCATCCTGTGACATAAACATCACTGGGTATACCCTTTATCCATGTAAATGTGAAGGTTGCCAAGGGATTATAACCTATATCAGAAATGACATCCAGGGTGAAGTAGAGATCCTTAATTGGCACCCCACAGATGCACACAAAGTCACCCTGTGGTATGGCAACAGCAAGCTCATACTTTATAACATGTATTGTCCCCCAAGTAGCACTCTGAACTTCTTGGAACAGAGTACTATCTTTAAGAAGACCGTCATAGCTGGTGACCTTAATGGACACTCCCCCCCTTTGGGGCTATGCTGACCAAAACAACTCAGGTAAGAGGATTGAAGAACTATGTCTGTCCTCTAACCTCATCCTTCTTCAAGATGAGGATTCAACCAAAACACTTCTTCACAGGAGACATGGGACCCTCCACAGACCAGATCTCACCCTGGTCTCTGCTGATTTACACAACTACTCTGCCGTCGTAAGGGAAAACGACGAATGGTCAAAATTTTTCTATTTTCGTATTTTTATAAATTTCATAGAATATTTAATTCTGCATCTCATGGTGTAAAAATTTTTGTCATATCGTAAACTGTTGTTGCGTAATTGAGAGTTCGTCGTTTTCCCTTACACTGGCGAGCTCCGAGCCAGAGCTCAGTGTAAGGGAGAACGAAGAATGGTCGATCGGACAAGGATCACTGCTCGTTCGGCGTTGTCCCCTGGTCTCTGCAGTTGGGCAAATTTGGCATGGGCGACGGATGACGATTGGTCACTGTTGCGTCAGTACAAACATACTAGGTTTTTTTCAAACAAACACAACATCTAACTTTATACGTAAAATAATAGCTAGTTCGTATACGTCTTATTTTTATTTGTATTAACCAGTACACAACCATCGCCTACGCCCATAAACGTTCACGAGTGTAAGGGAGAACGACGAACCGTACCATTCGTCGTTTTCGCTTACATCGCAAGGCTCACCTGCGGGTGCGCAGTGTAAGGGAGAACGACGAATGTCAAATGACTCTGCTACTTTTTAACACCTAAACCATTCAAACTTTAGAAACTGCATTATGAGCATCTAAATCAGATATCTGGTGAATTACAGCTTAAAAGAGTGAAAAATAGAAGAGTTATAACGTGAAAACTGTTTTTGCCTCTCCTGAAAAATTTGCCTCGCTACCTGCGCAGGACCATTCGTCGTTTTCCCTTACAACGGCAGTACTGCAGTGAAGAGGTGCTAGACTGTATATCTAGTGACCATCGTCCCGTTCTCACCAAAATCAGTATACTGAAACACAGACGAAGGAAAAGAAGAACCCGTTGAAACTTCAAGAAGGCAAACTGGGATCTCTTCAGAAAAACAGCTGAGGACACCGTTCAACTGGATGATCTAGACAAGAAAAGTATAGACGCCCTTAATAATGAACTCTCCTCCACCACCTTAGATGCTGCGAAGAAGAGTATCCCACAGGGGTGCAGAACCAACTATAAACCCTTTTGGAACGAGTGCTTGGAGAAAGCTACAAAAACTAAAAATGATGCCAGACATGAATATGAGAAAGATCTAAAAAATATGGACAAGAAAATTATATACAAAAAGGCGGTAGCAGAGGCTAAACTTGTCACCAAGGAATCTAAGAAGGAAGCCTGGACGCAGAAGTGTGAGGGACTCAATTTACATCAAGGTGGACGTGAAGCTTGGTCACTTCTAAATAACCTCACTGGCGAAAAAAGGAAAGAAAACCCCAAACCACTACACACAGAAACCAAAGTTCTCACCAGCGAGTTAAAAAAAGCCGAACACTTCAATAAACATTTTGCCTCCATTAACAAGAGCAGCAAAAGGAATGACCTGGACAGGAGTCTCCAGAGTGTTCTGAAAGGAAAAGAGAGAGATTTGATGACACCGAGTATCTTCCAAGACTTCTTAACTAAGCGAGAGTTGGACTGTCCAATCAAGAAACTAAAAAAGCGAAAAAGCCCAGGTCCTGATAAAGTCCACAATGAGATGCTACAAAACCTTGGTGAAAAAGTCAAATTGCTACTTCTTAAGCTCTACAACAGAACATGGACCGAGGGAAATCTGCCTAAAGCTTGGAAACTAGCTACTATAAACCCAATCTTAAAGAAAGGAAAGAAGGCCAATGACCCTAAAAACTACCGCCCAATATCACTTACGTCCTGTATTGGCAAGCTCTGTGAAAGAATCCTCAATTCTCGTCTTTATTGGTGGCTTGAGTCTTCAGGTCTGATATCACAGTGTCAAGCAGGGTTCAGGTCAAAAGGCAGGACAGAAGACCAGCTCTTCAGGCTTACACAGAAAATCATTGATGGATTTCAAAGAGGGGAACAGACAACGGCTGTGTTTGTGGATCTCCAACAAGCCTACGATAGAGTGTGGAGGAAAGGACTACTCTTAAAACTGCAGAACATGGGAATCAAGAGAAACATGTACTCCTGGATTAAATAATTCCTTACAAATAGACTTATCCAGACCCAGATGGATGAAACCCTATCTTCAAAAGCAGTACTGGAGGAAGGACTCCCACAGGGATCTTCTATCAGCTGTACCTTATTCCTCGTCTTCCTCAATGATGTTTCAGGTGTTCTCAAAACAGAAAAAGCCCTTTTTGCTGATGACCTGGTCCTTTGGCACACTGGAAACTCGACAACAATAAGCAGACGAAGACTACAAGATGATCTAAATTCCCTAGGAACCTATTGCCATTTAAGGAAGATGAAAATAAATTGCAAAAAAACTGTCTACTCTGTTTTTATGTTGCAACATAATGGCTATCTTACTGATGTTGCAACATAATGACTATCTTACTGATGTTGCAACATAATGACTATCTTACTGATGTTGCAACATAATGACTATCTTACTGATGTTGCAACATAATGACTATCTTACTGATGGAGCATGATGTAGCAACATACTATCAAACAGAAACAGACCAAAATATGTAGTCTTAAACAAAACTGCATACAATCTCTTCATTAAATTCCAACATGTCCAATCCCTTCTACTACAGTATAATCCGCTTTTATCCACATGCTTTGGGAAGTCGATTTGATGCCGATATCTAAAAATGTTGATAAATGAAAATACAAAGCCAAAGAGGAAAAAGCAAGGGGAGGTCAGCGGTAAAAAGACAACATTACTTTTATAAGGGCAAACTTTGTTGCAGCATCCTCGTAAGGCCTGTTTATGGCCGCTTGCGGTGGAAAATGGAAAGGCGAAGCACTGACTCACTGACTGTGGCACTTGCCAGTGAGAGACTGAGAATGGGATGGGGGAGGGGAGTGAGCGATCGGGAGTGGGGGTAGGGAGATGATGCCCAGCGTGCGAAACACTCACGTCTGTGAGGCACTGTACTGTGTTGGAGACTACACTGTGTAGGCCCTACTTGACCTACTAAAGCCTGCAGTGTCGAATAGGCTTCTTGGCGTGTATGCAGACATAATGAAGAACTAATGTGTTGACCACAGCATGGCTTTCCCCCCATTTATGTTCGTGGGCTTCGCCAGGTACCTAGGAAGCATGTCGATAAAGCAGAGTGGGCTGAAAAAAAGTCAATGTAAGAGAAATTGTTTAGTGAGATATTGAAGGAAAAATTTCGGAATTGGAAATATGTTGATATGTCAAAATGTCGATAAATCGAATGTCCATGGATATAAGTGGATTATACTGTATTATTTTTCTTTATATATATATTTTTTTTTTTGGTTCAATAATAAGAGCAAAGATATTTTCTGTTTACCGTTTAGGAAAGAAGCGTTGCCCGAGATACAACACTGCGGCTGTGGCTGCGTCGGTGACTGTGGCTCAGTACAGGCCAACGTGTACAAGTTCCCCGATTGTCTTCTCTTCTCCACTTGAGACAGTCATCACTTCCTTCATGTCACATCACCTGCAAACAAGAATTTAGATTAATCATCTAGAGATGCATTATTCAGATAATCATCTAGATCCATTATATTCAGGTAATCATCTAGATGCATTATTCATGTTCAGAAGATAGCTATTTCCCCTCTCACTGCTACCTTTGTAATGATATCAAGAGTATATTGCGTCACGATTTCAGTCAACATGATGAAAAAGCATAAGTTTGCCCCAGCAGAATCCGCAATAGAAGCAACAGAAATGTGGTTTCTTAGGAGACTGCTGAGAATATCGTAGAAGGAAAACAAATAAAATGAGGTAGTGCTTAATGAAGCTCACGAGATGCGTTCACTGTTAAAAACAATTAGGAAACGACAATTGCCGTCTTTGGGACACCTGAATAGACCCAGGGGGAAGGCCTAGAGCAACCTACTTAGGGAACCTAAACAAATGGGTAACGGGGAAAGATCAGGGAAACGTAGCTTTTTTATGAGCATCCGAGCAGAGGAATGAAGGGAGAACTACGCTCACTGATATCTGTCGCAGATCTGGTACTGGGTCATGATGATGATGAATTTTAGGCAAAGAAAATGTGGTCTATAACATATTTGTGAACGATTCCTTAGAACCACCAGACAATGAAAGTAAATTATAAAATCCGGTCCATAACTACATCTAGATCTAAAATCCAAATTTCACATTTGAACAACAACAGCACTTCTAATAAAACAACAACAATAAGAATAACAAGATCAGTTGTAAGTTTATGTAAATTGTTCATGTATTTGGTAATTTAAAGACCGTAAAAATAGCCCTGAAGACTGTCTTTACATGAACGTAAAAATAGCCCCAAAGACTGTCTTTACATGACCGTAAAAATAGCCCCGAAGACTGTCTTTACATGACCGTAAAAATAGCCCCGAAGACTGACTTTACATGACCGTAAAAATAGCCCCAAAGACTCTCTTTATATGACCGTAAAAATAGGTCCAAGAACCTTCTTTACCCGTCCATAAAAATAGCCACTGTATATTATATGGCCGTCGTTATTCGGACTCGAGTCCGAATAACATTTTTTCATATTCGGACTCGAGTCCTAATAAAAAAAATTCTTATTTGGACTGGAGTCCGAATATGAAAAAATGTTATTCGGACTCGGGTCCGGAAAAAAGGAAGTGTCTTCGTTCTATAGATCTAACGTTCAGTGCTTCCAATTTTCCGCCATTTTTTAGTTTCCCCCACACCTTATCTGCCGATCCAATGCCCGCCGCCTCA